ATGTCTCCGGGCATTTTCCAAGTGTATAGTCGACGTTTGGATTGTTTGAACCATGTGTTTCCAACTATTAATTGATGCTTGGTAGCAAATTCAACTAGTCGTTCGCCTCTTTCATTCCTATTTCCTAGCCTAAACTTGCCCACAATTTTTCCATCTCCTCCTCCTCCTACAGATGCATTCCAGTCTCCCATAACAATTAGGCATTTCTTAGTTTTATCATTTTCTATTATATCTTCAATTTGGTCATAAATTTCTTCTACTTCTTCATCGTCATAGTCTCCAGTAGGCATGTATACTTGAAATATCATCATATCCATGGGATCGCTTTTTATTTTAATCATTAAAATTCTGTCACCTCTGCATTCAATTCTTTCAACTGAATTTTTTACCTTCTCACCTAAAATAAATGCTACACCGTTCTTTCCTTTAGTTCCACAAGAATAAATAACCCTGAATTCATCGCTAAAAAAATCACTGCTGTCCTCCCATCTAACTTCACTAAGCCCAAGAATATCCAAATTCTCCCTCTTCATTTCTTTCTTGACATTTTCCAACTTACCCGGTCGAAGCATGGTTCTTACATTCCATGTTCCTATTTGAATTCTTCCTATGGGGGTTTTGCGTGGTGACGACCTGGGAAGCCCCATAACTTCCCCTGCCAGGCATGACACCTTTCTCTTGGAGATGAGTCCCATATTTGTCAGTACGATAAATAGGTTTTCTGCTTTCCATTAACAAGGGAGGTATATCTGAGGTGGTTTCCCGTTGTCTTCCTCACGGTTTCTGATCAGAGTTTTCCTTCTCCTAGGCAGGTTGCCTACCAAGGCTTAAGAGTCCTGCCTACCCCGGCAATAGGTATATGGCGGCCTAAATCGCCTTATATATTTTATATTTTATTTAATATATTTTAAGTTGTTTAATTTTATTTTGTTTTTAAAATGTCAATAAATAGTGATATTTCTCAATTTTAAAATTTTATAGTATACTTGCTATTAATTGGTTATATGTTAGACTATTGAGAAATGATTTCAATTTTGTATAAAGTTTTCAAAAAAATTCCATTATACTTTTAGTAATTTAATTATTACAAACAACAAACAAGCATATTTTTCATTTTATAAATTATTTATTTAGTTCACTCTTCATTATCACATTATATTTTTATAAAAATCTACACTATGACTTATATAAATGAAGGAATAATAACGTTTTTTTAATATAGACTGGAAAGCTTAAGTGAGAAACTAAAAAAGTTGTCTTGAAAAGAAGAAAAGAAAAAGCATGCAGTTATTTCAATAAGGGGCTGTCCATAAATTACATCTGCATTTTTCTTAAAATTTTTACTTCCTCCCATTGTCGAAGTTTCCATAACCCTCTACTCTCTTTGGACATCCAACAAAACTCAGTTCCTTTCAATATTTTTATCATTATATGAATAATAAAATGCACAAATTGTATAAAATTTAATGAAATAAAATGTACATTCATTGAAGTTCAAACCCCCCTCTCTCTTGTTCAACTTGTCATAAGTTTCATAAGAGATATAATGCTCTACAAACAACAAAAAATACTCATAGTATCAATATATGGGGAAGATGCTCCTAAATGTCAGACATGTCAAATGTGGTTTAGTAAGTTTTGTTTGGGAAATTTGAACTAAAGGATAGAAAATGTATGAGACATTCAAAAGCAATGATTGTAAGACATGAATTTTAAATAAGAAATGTTAAAATTTTATTAAATTTAAATTAGGGAAAAATATTAAAATTATCAATAGTTTTTCTTTTGAAAATATATATCATTTTTTACAGACTTAAACTTAATGTGGAGTTTCTCTTCTATATACCATGATTGGCTTAATTAATGAGTATTATAAAATGTCAGAATGTTTGACCCCAACCAGTTTTTTCCTCAGGAGAACTGACAAAATTGAAACACATAGATGGATTTTAACTCCTATTTGTGGGTAAATGTATGCCTATTAGAGAAAGGAGGAGACAGAAACTACCAATTACTCTTATAAAACTGGTTTATTTATTCCAACAAAGTAATGAGATTTCTTTACATCACATTCATGACATGACACAACATTTTAAAGTATGTTAATTATATATTTCTTGTGGAGAGAAAGAGAGAGAGAGTGTGTGTTCTGAGGATGTGATAAATACATGATTCACAAAGAAATTGATGCAGATGTTTGAATGAGTCTGAAACAGGGTTGAGTAGGATGGAATATCACAAAAATATAGAAAAGAAAAAAGGCATAAGTAGTGTTCTCTTTTCTGTCCAAGAGTTTCTTCTCTCAGTTCCTCTTGGAAAGAGTCTTAAAAACCTCATTTAGTGAACAATCCATTTTTCTTTTTCAATTCCATTTTTAAATTGTCACCAGAAATTTATGAGGATTACTCTGGGATTGATTCTTTATCCAGGAAAGTTTGAGAGAGCAAGAGAGGTGAGTGGCTTTTCCACTTGCATCTCTTGCTCTCTCATTACACTTGTTTTAACAATAACACTAGAGTCCAATTACAATTCCAACCCAACAGTTATTAGTCAAAATGACAAATTTATGGCACTGTTACATTTAACATGACATGATTTTTTTCTTCTGTCTAAATACAAAAGTTCTGTTTCTCTCATACTTGAATACAACTCACAGATCTCAATAAGTACAAATTTCTTTGTGTTGTGGTGAGGCCAACTTCACACTAACAATCTGTTTAGTCAAGTAATTTTTATTACCATTGTATTCATAACTATAATATAATTATGATTAAAAGTATTTCAACAATATTTATTCATTAATTATTATTATCTATAAATTTCAGGTGATTGGCTGTGTTTTTATGTCTCGTATGTTAAAAAATTATTGCTGGGTAGTTCAATTATTTGGGATTGCTTGCTTGAAAAAACTACCTGAAAGTAAGAATTTTAATTTTTTTTAATAATAAATTAAACTTGTACTTTTTTAGAATACAAAATAAAAGTTATTTAGATCTCCACTTCACAAGAAAAATCAAATTAAAATAATTTTAAGTGAAATGGAAAAAAGTTTTTTCCCCTCTAAATACCTGACTTATATCTAAATATATAAAATTGCTTGTCCTGACTGACTGACTGAATGATTCACTCGCTGATTCATCATCGCCCAGAGCAGATCGCTTAACCTAAAGAGGTAAAATTTGGTAGACAGTTAGGGTACATCATGGAAACGCACACTAAGAAGGGATTTTTTGAAATTCTTCTGCGGGGGGAGAGGGAGAGCATTAAGGCTTAACCGGAAGAACGGCTTCTACTGTACTATTTTAGATGCAATTTTTTTGTTTTTATCTGCGTTGTGGTAGGGTATGCCATGAGAATGCACAAGAAGGGATTTTTCAAAATTCCCCCGCGGGGAGGAGAGGGAGAGCATTAAAGCTTAACCGGAAGAATGGCTTCTACTGTACTATTTTAGATGCGATTTTTTTGTTTTTATCTGCGTTGTGGTAGGGTATGCTATGGCAATGCATACTAAGAAGGGATTTTTCGAAATTCCCCTGCGGGGGAGAGGGAGAGGATTTAGTCTTCATCGAATACTTAGGTGTATTAAATTAATAACATTTCAGACATTGTTATAAATATTTTTATCTATTTTGATTTAAAAATGTTCGAACCGTTTTAAATTCGAATTTGTTATTGCATATTGGTTCGATTATAGAACGATTGTAAACGTTCCAGAAAATTGATCAAATTGAAAATAGTTCATTTGATTCACGGCAATTCTCATCATTCTCAGTGGTAGGTGTTATATAACAATTACTATGGTTGTTGAAATACTGAATATAAATGGGGTTTGCTTGCAAAACCACCGCAGGCGAAGTTGCGGGTAACAGCTAGTATATATGTATATATATATTTATTTTAATGTTCAAAAATCACTATGTTTAAATTATGTTTAACTCCACTTCAAGCATTTTAATCTTTTTAATAAATAATTCCTATAAAAATACACTAGGTCACAAAAGAGTATCCAGACATCTATAAAATGGAAGAATTTTTTAGTTATAAGTCATTTCTCTCATGAAATTGAAAAAAGTAATGACATGTGAAATCTTTAGATTTTTTTACACTAGAATAAATATTTACATGTGCAAAAAATATTGATAAAAAACAGAAACATAGTTTTATTCAGGCCTTGGAATGGATCACTATTTCTCACTATTTTTAAATTAGTCACTTTCTTTGGTCACTTTTTAACTATTTTGGTGATATATCACTATCTCTCACTTTTTCTTCCATTATGGGTAACAACATTTTTGTGATGTCATTCATTAATTAATCTTTAAATACTTAAATTGTGACGTCCATAACGTCTTTCTCTTGTTGCTCATTGAAAACTTCATGTAATAACATGATTTTTTAGGTATTAAAAATATTAGTTACATAATATCATAATAATATAACACACCACTGGGCAATAAGAGGACTTTTTTCTCACAGTCTAATGTTGACAAAATTTTTTTCGAAGTACAGTATTTTAATTTCTTCTGAGCACCTAGCAATTAACTTCACAATTAACCTTCACACCTTCAATTTGAGGGCAGGTGTTAATAAACCACCTCTTAAATTGAAAACCACCTGCCCTTTTAAGCAAAACAAAAAAAACAAAATGTGTATTTCTCTCCCTACATTTTATTTCTTTGAAATTTTTTTAAATATGAAAATTAAATTTCTAGGAAAACTTGTAGAACTAATGTTGTTCAGCATTAAAAATTGTAAATAAAAATATTTTGAAGCTAGAACCCATATTTTAAAGTTACAAACCACTGTGTGTCATATCACCCTCTATCATTGTTGCGTCAACTAACATTTAGAACACAAAATGGTTTTTCTTAATCACCACAACACGTAGTGGTCAAATATGAAAGCCATGATGTGAATTTCACTTTGTGGTCTTTTTGAGTAGCCGCAACACATTGTGGCTGTTTTTAAAAGTGCCAGAACATGAATATTGTGTTGTGGATGATTTAAAGAGATCATGTGTTGTGGACATTTTTTTCACTCAATGAGCATTTTCATTCTTTGAGCCTTACATATATAACACAGAAAAATATTGGAATTATGTCAGATTTGATCCTCTAAGCTTTTGCAAATCTCTGTTTTGAGATCTCAAAAAAAAAAAAAAAAAAAAAAATAGACACAGACATATACGGAATTTTTATTTCATTTAATATCTCAGAATAGGGTAATGATTAAGAAACAAAATTTAGCACTGTAGCTTGTGTATAAAGGACATTGATGCTATTAGATTCTGGTGGTTATAGTTTGAGGAGTGGAAAAATAGAAAGGGATTAAGTCAAATGTGGTTGGACTTCATGAAGATTTTACTTGTTATTAGCATTTATAATTTTATATAAAGCTTGTCTCCACCCTCAAAATTAAACTATTTGCAATTTTGTAATTATTAATAATTTTGTTTTTTAACAAAACCTCTTAATGGATGGCATCTCAAACTAATTTTAAATTTGTTCTATTACATCATTGTGTTTTCTTTGGAAAAGTTGTGCATTTCGTTTCTGGATTTTTTATTTAATGAAATGTCTTGTTTTAAGTTTTAGTAATTCTGCAACTCAAACTTTTTTCTAATTAATTTTAAACCAATTAAAAATTTTAATTTGCAAAATCTAAGAAGATAACTCATTAGAACAAATGGTAAATATACAGGCGATTTTCCTCTCAATTTTTTTTTAAGAGACACATGCCATATACCTTCTAATAGACACTTCCTGCATTTAATTACCAAACTAGCTAACCAACCTGGTGCTTATTAGCCTATGGTTATGTTCTACAACAAATAAAGAAATCAAGTAAAGAACAGATCAAAATATACATATATAGCAAAGGATAATTAATGACCCCTTTTGCTAATTTTGGTCAACTAACTAGGAATGTTGGAAATTCCAAAACAAAACCAGAAATTCCAGAGTTCTGGTTTTTGTTATGCCAGAAACTGGCATCTATTTGTCTTTGCTGTAAGGCTACATTTATGCAAGTGTGAGAAGAAAGAAAAACACTCTAAAACAAATTTTTTGGATCAGAATTTGCAATCATGACACTGTTTATGCAGAAGTGAGAAACAAATTTCTCGTACAAACAATGCAAGATATGCACACAAACATCTAGATCCTGTACAAGCATTAGTTCTAAATTATGCCACTATGCCAATAGCTGGAAGCTCAAATAAAGCAATCATAATTTGTAATTTTGACCAGAAAATACCATAATTACAAATTATGATTGCTTTATTTGTAATTACTATTAGTTAATAATGAAAATAGGTTATTGTTTTTTAAACAAAAGAAAATGTTCTCAAACTAAATTATAACATCAAACGAAACAAAACCCTTAAATATAAAATATACATTATATGTAATGAGCTGAGTCCGCATGTTATCATCATGGTCAACAAATTTTATTTCAGTCACTGTTTAATTACTTTTTTTCTTGCTTGGAGTTACTATTCTTACTTATTTTGAAGTCATTTTCTGTTTTGAGACCTGTTTTATTTCAAACTGTGAAAATTTTCATATCGCAAAAGTATCTGGACAGAGGAAATAAACGATAGAAAGTGTCAGATCAATTTGCATAAAAATATGCTTACAACAATTTGCCACAACAAATGAGTTAAAGTATTTGTTTTATATTTGAGTTGTTTTATTTTGTCATTGTGAACAACGAAAACAAACAAATTAACCATTGTTATTAAGGAATAACAAAAGGAGAAACCTTGCAGAACAGTTTTACATTCCAAAATCCACAATTCAAGATACCCTTTCAAAATTTCTTATGACAATTAGTGTAGTTAATTAGGCTCAAACTGGATGTCCTGAAATATTTACCTCAAGACAGAAACGTGTCATTGTCAGGAAAGTGAAGAAAAATCCACGAATAATTGCTCCTAAGCTTGCTATTTAAGCTTCTGTAGAATGTGAGTATATACATCTGCAGAAACTGTCAGAAAATCTTTAAAAGTAAGTACTGTAGCTATAAAGATTTTATGGCTATGAAAAAATCAGCATTAAATTTAATGGTTGTTTGCAAAAAGTTTTATACAAAATCAGTAACATTTTGGAAATCAGTTTTGTGGTCAGATGATTCAAATTCAATGTGTTTGGTCCAAATGATTGCTTGAAAGTGCAGAGAAAAGCTGGAGAATCTTTAAAAATGAAAAATCTGATTCCTACAGTGAAATGTGGAGACTGGTATTTAGTGTTATTTGAGTTGTATGTCTGCAAATAGTGCTGGAACTCTGCAATTTGTTGATGGAATAATGAATCAATATGTGTGTAAATAGATTTTAAATAACAATGTTCAGAAATCAGTAAGAAAATTAAAGTTGGGATAAATTAAGATATCAAGGGTTTGTTTTCCAGCATGACAATGATCCAAAGCACACTCCAAAAATCAGTCAGTATCTTGATGTGCACTGTATAAAAGTACTTCCTTGGCCTCCACAATTGCCTGACCTCAACCCAATTGAGCATTTATAAGATCACATTGAATGTACAATCAGAATCCATAACAAACAAAACTGGTCTTAAAAACATTATCATCAGAGTTTTGAATTTAATAGATTAAACTTATAAAAATTTGAATGAATCAATGCCTAATTGTTATCAGAGTAAAAGTAGGCCTAACTTGTTCTTAAATGTATAAAATATTTTGTTTTATCATTATTTATTTCTTCTGTTTGAATACTTTTGTTATTTGAAAATTTTCACAGTTTTAAATAAAAGTATATTTCTCTTTTTGATGAATGTTTTTGTATGTACATGTAAATACTTTTTTGTAGTGTAAAAATGTCTGAAGGTTTTACACGTCATTATTATTAAAACTCTCTTCCATTTAATAGGTATCTGGATACTTTTGTAACCTAGTGTATATTAAGTTTTAAAATTGGAATTTTTTACTTCAAAAAAATTAATTAAAATTTGTCTAAACTTTAGAATGATTAAAAGATCTTTATAGATTATTAATTTTTTTTATATTTTGATTCAAATTTTATAAAATATTTTGAATGCACAAATACAAAACTTTATTGTAATCTTGATGATTTAAATAAATGTTATTTTATATTTAGCAAATTCAAATCTACCTAAATCTGATAAAGATTGTCAAGTACCAGTTGATGAAGCAGGATTATTATGGGATGGAATATGTTTTGGATTTCTGTTACTTCAAAAACGATTGTTTGGAAGTTATTATTTTCAACATCTTGTAAATGAGATTCGTGCTCAGCAAATTTTAGCTTCAAGGTAAAAGTATACATTAATAACAAAATTTATAAATATAATATTAACTTTTTATTTTCAGTTTTATAAGAAAATATATTTAAAATATTAATCATAGTAATTATATAACTCTGGAGATCATATCATGAATTCTGAAGCTGCTGGCACACTTTGACTCAGATCTTAGTGATAGGGAAGAATTCTCTAAATTTGTATTTCACAAAAATAGCCAAACAGAAAGAGGATTCCATAAATTGAGACCTTAAATTAAAAAAGTTGGGAACAGAATATAATTTTAACGTTTAAATGTATACTATTTAAAATTAAACTTATCACTGTGTACACATCTATATACCATGTTAGTAACTGTAAAATTTAGAAATATCTTGAAGAAACAGAAATATTGTATATAGGCTTTTAATATTATTATATTGGGTTTTGTGAGTTATACTCGATTGATACCAGTGGCTGTGTATAATGCCAGAGCAGAGTCAAGGCATAGTAACCAAAACAAGACAAAATGAAATAAGAGTGTCAGTGTGTGTCTGTATTCAGGAATTTCCTAACAATATGATATGTATTCAATATAGTGGCCTTCTGTAGTGTGATGTATGGGTCAACAAATTTTATTTCAGTCACTGTTTAATTACTTTTTTTCTTGCTTTGGAGGGACTATTCTCACTTATTTTGAAGTCATTTTCTGTTTTGAGACCTGTTTTATTTCAAACTGTGAAAATTTTCATATCGCAAAAGTATCTGGACAGAGGAAATAAACGATNTCAATTGTAATGTTCCCAGGCTTTTGTGTAGTGTGTGGTATCACACTGTACAGGAGAGAATGACAGGTACAATAAGCACCCTATCCATCCGCCACAGATGTCTTATTTCCTGGACGAGTTCTGTGTACTTGCTAATTTTTTCAGTGCATGTGTTTTGTACATTGTGAGTGTTTGGAATGGCTATATCTATAATGTATATGATTTTATTGTGTTTGTGAATGAGTGTGATGTTTTTTCATGTCTGATATTGTAGCCATATTGTGTGTTGTTTAACATGATGGATAATGGGTTCAGGGCTAGGCAGAACCAGAGAGGACTCAAGGAATCTCCTTGAAAAGTACCTTGCCTAATGAATATTTCGTTTGTTTGTATGGAAGTGTTACTAACCCTGAGATGTAGTGTTGTTCTCCAGTGCTGCATAGTGTTTTCGAAGAATGCAATGAGTGATGGATGTATTTTGTACATGTGTAGAATATGTAGCAGCCAACTGTGTGGAACACTGTCGAATGCTTTTCTGTAGTCTATATATGCCATGTGTATGTTTCTGTGTTGTTTGTGTGCTTGCCGTAGAATGACTGAATCTATGAGTAACTGTTCTTTGCATCCCCTGTGATTTCTACGGCAACCTTTTTGTTGTTCTGTAAGAATGTCGTGTTCTTCAACATGTTTGTATATTTTGTTTGTGATAAAGGATGTCAATAATTTGTAGAGTGTTGGAAGACATGTAATTGGTCTGTATTGTGTGGGCTCTGTGGTTTTGTTGTTTTTAGATTTCATGTAGGTGATGCCCTGAGTAAGAAATTTTGGCATGTCTTGTGGGTTGATGATGATTTGTGTTAGATGTTTAGCTAGTTCCTGGTGCAGTGATGTAAACTTTTTGTACCAGAAATTGTGAATGTTGTCTATACCAGGTGTCTTCCAGTTGTATGTTCTGTAGCATAGCGGATGTTGTGTACGTTTATTTCAGCACAGGGCATAGTTAGTATGTTGTGTAAGTTTCTGTTCTCCTCCTCGATCCAGCCTGCAACAGCATTGTGTGTAACAGCGCTGGACCAAAGGGAAGACCAATAAGTTGTGAGTTCTTCTTCTGTTGATGTGCCACTGTGCTGTGTATCAGTGTTTGTTTTCGTATTAATTTGTCTGTAAAAGATTTTTTCATTGTTTGTAAATAACTTATTTTGTTGTTTTCATAGTGTACATGTTTTGTATCGTTTGAGTCTACGTGCTTTGGCTGCAAGTTTTCATTTTAGTGTATCGATGTATTCTGTAATGTGTGTGTTGTAATGTTCATGTTTTGTGTGTGTTTTGATTTTCTTGAAAATATTTTTGAGTTGTTTCTTTAATTTGGGTGTTATGTTGTTTTTAGTGTATTGTGTCAGCCTGCCTAATTGCTGTCTAATGTCATTTATTTGTATTTTTATTCTTCTTTGCCAGGCAGGCTTGTGATAGAATTGTGTTTTCTGTGTATCTGTCTGTGATTGTATTTTCAGTCCATGGTGTGTCACTACTGTGACTGCTCCAGCATAAACTAAAGTATGAATGTCTGAGAGAGTAAAATTAAATGGATGCAGTGAGGTAGTAAGTGAGTGTCTATATAATTTAGTGCTTTTCCTACTACCTTTGATGTGTTGATTTTGGTATTTGTGGTTTTTGTGTGGGATCTGTGCCTGTATATTTAGTGAGTGTTTCCTGAAATATAAGTGAGAGCGTATTAACTAAATCTATATCTGTTATCTGTGGTGGATGAGGAAATGTCTGTAGTATCATTAGTGGTAGTTGTGTGTGTGTGTGTGTGTGTGTGTGTGTGTGTGTGCGTGCGTGCGCGTGCTGTAATCAGTGCTTGTTGCTGGATTATCCTGACAGGTTACGTGATCTTCATTAATGTTAAATGTTTCTGTCTGTTGATGTATTTGATCAGCAACCTGTTGTTTGATAAGTTCAAGTGTTGTTTGTGGGATAAGGTTGTTGTGTATAATTGTTCG